ATATATATATATATATATATATATATATATATATATACTTTTTCTATCCATAACCAACTTTAAAAGTGAACCTAAGATGGTACTGAGATACGGTATACAAAAATGTCCTTGCTCATGGACCTCCAGCACAATTTAGTATCATTTATCTTTCATTAACAATACAGAAAAGCCACACTTGGATCTGCTTGTTTCCAAACATGAATTCATTGAACAACAAATAAGTCTTAGTAAAACTAAAGCAAGCAGAAAAATGTAAAGCTATGAACAGTCTGAAAAGGAAAGACAATACACACACCTGCAATTTTCCCCACAATCTGCATTTATCACATCCAACACAGTCCATGATTCGGGAGATGTTCTTGAAATGTAACCGGAATTCCTCCTGGTATGCAGAAAATATTGGAATTAGACTTGAAATTAAGCTACACTTGGTTGAATTACATATATAAAATAAAGTTTTGGAGTTTACAAGTGATTAAATTGTTTTTAAGCACTAAAAGATCTGACTTTGTACACAACATATTATGTTAAAACAACAGACATTAATAGAAGCTAATATGCACAGTGCATATTCAACCCATTTTACTGACAAGGCACTTAACAAAAGGGCTGGAAAGTTAACAGTGTGAGGCCTTTACTTGTAAGAACTGAGCTGTTGCTTACATTGAATAGCTTCTTAAATCTAGGTAGGGTATTTTCTCATAGCAACAGAAAAAGGAACTAATGTAAAATGTAACTCAGAATGTTGGCCCTAGAATAGATCTAGTTGTAAATCACTCCTTAATACCATGCTGTGACACAGGTAATTAACAAGCAATGATCTCAATTTATAGCAAAATCTTATCACACTAACATCAACATTGGATAACTGGAAAAATTTGGATGAATTAGATGGAAAAAAAAAAGCCAGAGTGTGGTGGTGCACACCTTTAATCCCAGCACTTGGAAGGATTTCTGTGAGTTGGAGGCCAGCCTGGTCTACAAGGCCAGTTCCAGGACAGTCAAAGCTACACAGAGAAACCCTGAGAAAGAAAGAAAGAAAGAAAGAAAGAAAAAAAGAAAGGAAGGAAGGAAGGAAGGAAGGAAGGAAGGAAGGAAGGAAGGAAGGAAGAGAAAACACAACAAATGGCTTCCACAATGCCCCCAATTACCTTTAATGACTTGGCCCCCTTTTTGTCACCTGCAAACATGGATTTCTCATCAAAGTGCATGGGAAAGGACCTGATGAAAGGAACAAGTAAGTTAACAATGAAAAGTCCAAGAACCTGTCTTAGAGCTCTGCTAGAATTTTGTAGCCCTACAAATATTTAAAGTCTGCTATTTATAATGTAGGAGGGTGACAGTTCACATATATACTAATAAGACTATAGCAAACTACATATGACTTTGTAATTTATAACACTGCGATATCTTAAGGAGATTAGTAAAATTATTTAAAAGTAAAAACAATCTCCAAGTATGACAACACTCAATATTTTTGTATAATTTAATATGTAGTTTACTTTAGGTTCTTCTGCATATACCTTTTCTTTCAGGTTTGTCTTAGAACCTAGTGGACATGTTTTACAGATTAAGGATGATTTAAAAGGTTATGTTCTGGAAGGTAGCACCGTGTATGTTCACTATATACTTACTATGACTCTATGCAAGTTTAAGCAGTAACTGAAATAATACCAAATTGGTAGAGCATTTTGATACTACATAAAGTCTTCAGTTCTTTATTAAAATATATATGGCCTAGTTTCAAGTGCAAACACTTCTGCAGCCAAGCTTCAGGGAGGCTTCTTACTCAGCATCTATAGAACTACCGCAGTAATTTTGCTCCCATGTTCCTCAGCTCTGCATCTCTCTTTTCTAATGTCTGGAGGATTCCAGAACACTGACCAGACCAGAGCCTTGTCTACAAGTCTTACTTTGTGTCCTGGAAGATGCTGAGCAGCAGGGTCTTGGTATCGGCATCTTCTTCCAAGTTGCCAGTGTAAAGATCAACAATTGAGCGCTCAAAATAAGGGGCCACCTTTGACAAAGCACGAAGCTCAATCAAGTATAAAAAGTATAGATTCTTCAGTCTTCTTGGACCCTCCCCCTTTGTTTCCACAGGGTCAAAACGGCGTTTAAATTCTTTGATGTTAGGTCCCCAACTAGGTTTACCCCAGGTTTCTGAAGAGAAAGAGAAATATATTGTCTTTTAGTATAAAAGTTTTTTGTTTTGTTTTGCTCTACAGAATATGTATTTTACTTTCCAACACATTTTAGCATATCTTAGAAGTAAAACAGTCTCCATTTAAGAAATCTGATTACTGGCCAGGTGGTGGTGGTGGATGACTTTAATCCCAGCACTATGGAGGCAGAGGCAGGCCGATCTCTGAGTTCGAGACCAGTCTGGTCTACAAGAGCTAGTTCCAGGACAGCCTCCAAAGCCACAGAGAAACCCTGTCTCAAAACAAAACAAAACAAAACAAAAAAAAGAAAAGAAATCTGATTACCTTCCAGAAGATAATTTGCACACAGATGTAAATTGATGCTGGCATGAAGTCCTGATATAAGCTTATAGAAGACTCTTTTCTCAAGACACAAACCTAATCAGAAAAACATGGAAAAAGAAACCCACACCCATCAGATATAGAATATTTAACCAAAAAAGTAATTACATGGGTTTCAGGTTAATGTTCAAGAACACTGTTATGGGGGCTGGAGAGATGGCTCAGAGGTTAAGAGCACCGACTGTTCTTCTAGAGGTCCTGAGTTCAATTCCCAGCAACCACATGGTGGCTCACAACCATCCATTATGAGATCTGGTGCCCTCTTCTGGTGTGCAGATAGTCACAGAAGCAGAATGTTGTATACATAATAAATAAAATCTTTAAAAAAAAAAAAGAACACTGTTATGGCTAGAATATGCAGTGTCCCTGCAAGCTTAGGCTTGGGATGCCTGTTGCTCTGGTGGGGCCTGCCTAGAGGAAATACAGCGGTGGGGGCAGGGCCTAAGAGGTGATATTATTCATGTCTGCTTCCGTCACTCTCTGCTTCTGGTCTTCATAGCTGTCCTCTGACACACATTCCCTGTCATGAAGATCTTTTCACAAGCTCAGGGCCAAACAGCCATGGAATGAACCCTCTGAAACACTGAGCAACATAAATCTTTTTTGTGTGTATAAAGTTTCTGTCAGCTAAAAGTAACAGACATTAAAAACAAATCAAGAGATAATATGCAAACAATCAGATGGAGTTTTTCACTAGAAAACAGTAAGATACTTGTTTCAGAATGGACTTAACTATTGAGAATAACTAAAACTTAACACACAAACATGGTGGATGCAGCCGGGAAGTTCTTATGTTATCCAGAAAGACCTGCCCCAGGAGGGTGGCCCAGACACTACTGGATGCAACTGCCAAGTTCCTAGGCTACCCAGAAAGCAGTTGCACAGGTTGTAGTTTAGACTAAAACTGTACTAAACACAACAACAATGAAGTCATTGCTTTGCCTTAGCAATAGCTGTGTCTTCCAATAATACCTTCCCTCTGTTCTTTCTTTGGATCTACTCTGTGGTGGAGAAAGAAGGGTCTTTTTCCCTGTGATGTTCTTATTCTAATGATGCATCACTCTACTAATAAGGAGATAAAACCTAGAAAAAGACTCCCAGGAATTTTACAGGCAGGAGACAGATCTGTTGAGTATTTACAAGTCCCACCATATGGAATTCAAGGACATGATACACAGTCACTTCATATAGCTTCCTTAACCCACACAAGTTTCTGCTCAAAATTTATGGCAAATACCAAATAATCCCATAATCCTACCCTCCTCCTGCTACCCTGTAAGATTTTCTTTTATAGTAACATACATTGTAAGTGCACTTAGTACCACCAAACAGTAATCTTAAGAATGGCTACAAGGGGACTGGAGTGAGGCTCAGTAGCCGAGAACATGCTTAGCATGTACATGACCCTGAGCTCAACACTAACATGGTTTTACACTGTATTTATTATGCCACAATAAAAAGAAAAATTTTGATTACTATTCTTTATAAAAATTTTAAGCATGTAAATATACAATAGGAAATATAAATTATGATTTACTTTATATGCATGAATGTTTGTTTGCATGTATGCATATGTACTGTGTATATGTATGGTGCCTTCGGAAGGCAGAAGAGGGCATTGGATCCCAAGGAACTGGAGTTACAGATGGTTGTGAGCTGTCATGTGGGTGCTAGAAACCAAACTCATGTCCTCTGCAAAAACAAAAAGTAAAAACTACAACTAAACAACAACAACAACAACAAAAACTACAAGTACTCTTAACCATAGAACCATCATCTCTTAGGTCCTCTAAACAGATAATTTTAGAATCTGTTAGGTGCATTTTCTTTACCACCCAACAGGTTTTGTTTTCTTTTTTAACACACTTTCTACTGGGGAAAATGTGGAATTTAGGGTACAATCTCATTTATGTGCTGGGAGAATTTTAATAAAAGAGTGTCTATGTGGCTTGCTGCTACATCTTATCCAGGACTCTCAGATCATTATTTACTCTAGGTCTTACCACAGATGGCTCTGAAGCAAACATCCTCAATAAGAAAAACTATTGAGGCTGGGCGTTGGTGGCACATGCCTTTAATCTCAGCACTCGGGAGGCAGAGGCAGGTGGATCTCTGTGAGTTCGAGACCAGCCTGATCTACAAGAGCTAGTTCCAGGACAGCCTCCAAAGCCACAGAGAAATCCTGTCTCAAAAAAAAAAAAAAAAAAACCAAAAAAAAAAAAAAAAACTATTGAGATATCATTCTCTAACTCAAAATGTTGTAAAGACCAAAACATAGAGATTAAATTTTATTTTGTAGCTTTCTCCAAAAAGCATATGGACAACTTTAAATGTTTGTAACAAGGACTACAAATAAAATGAAGAAAATGAACTTAAAAGAAAATTTACTTAAAATATTGTGTACTAACTTCAAGAAAAATTTTCATCAAATATATAATCAAGAAGAAAAATGGTGAAATTTGATGTTCAATTTCTATTCCTTCCAACCTACCTATATAAGCAATGTTTCTGTCTTACAAAATAGCCAATGTCTAGAGAAGGAAGTGTAAGTAAAGCAAAGGTCATGAAAATTCACAAGCTTAAAAAACAGGGCCTGGAAAACGAAGAGGAATTTCTATTTGCAAAGTTCACAGAGCCTGTAAGCTGGAACAGGCCAGGTACAGTTAGGAAGGTGGAGGGGAAACTTGCTTCAGTGAACTGGGTGACCTCAAGCAAAATGCTGGTATCAAAGATGTACCAATTGACTGCACCAATAAGACAACACTGGGTGGAGCTGCAGGAGACCTTTTATCCCAGCCTGGTGTCAAAAGGGTGGGTGGGTCTGTGGCTGTGGAGAGCAGGTCAAAGCTTCTATCTCTTGCTCTGAAATAACACAAAAAAGCCATCCTACAAAAGCAATTTCATCAACTCCTGGTTCTAACAACACATAGCAAGTTAGATCATCCAATTTAGGGAGATCTCTTCTAGATTTAATGGTATTCAAATTAATTTTCAACTATTGGTTTAGGGGACACTGAATGTATGTAAACATGTTTCTCACAATAGTGCTAGATTTTCTACTGTCATGGACAACTGTTGTGCATTTGAATATCTCTTGGTTGTTTTCAATTCCACCAACAGTGTAGGTGGCAGCACTAGTATTGCCACTCTTTAGCTCCAGGTGAGGAAAAAACTAGAAGTGCTCTCTGGAACTACATACTCACATTCAGGGACTCCAAGCAGCAGGATGCTACTAGTTGATACACAGTGCCTAAGGTCAAACACTGACAGAGACTCCATTCTCCTCCTCCATTATCAACATTCAAGTGTCTTATCTCTCTGAGTCTCAATCAAGAGTATCCAACTTGTGGCTCATGTGTAGCACACATCTAGGGTTATCTATAAATGCAGCCCGATACTTATGCAGAACCCGATATCATGCCACAGTGTTAAAATGTTGGCCACCCCTGATCTTAATTACTTTACACAATGCTCAATCTTTAGAGTAGACTTATTAAGTTATGCATCTTCTACTAAAGGTCATTTGCCAACACAACTCCTAACAGTATTCACACATGTTCACTTTAAAATGACCAATTTATACATAAAAGTCACTAACAACAAGCAGAAATTATGTTCATAAGAAACACAGCCAATTAACAACTAACAGAATCAACTACTGAGAATTTAACACTTTGCTGGAAGCTTATGGCCATGAAACAATGATTTCCTTCCCTCACTCAACTTGCTAATCTTTCACTACTATAAAACAGTACAGCATAAATTCAAAAGCATCATACTCCCAGTTATTATCCAAAGCTGTTAAACTCTTAGAGCATTGTACTTTTAATTCATAAAATTGTATGTTTCTAATATGGAAAATATGAATGAAAAATACAATGTAAACTCCATTGCTTTAAATTTTAATTAGATGAATATGGGCTATATGAACTTGGATATATATGTACAGTCTTCTGCATTTAATTCACCTTGCCTTGTTTTACACATCACAAGAGCTTCCTTACTAAGGGAAACACCTTTGCTTTACAAGCACACTTGTTTGCTACTAGCTAGTAAAATGTGAATAACATAGGTTAACACTGCGGGAGCCAGTTAGGAAAACCTAATAACCTATGTAGCTTATGTATTCATTTGGTACTGATTTTTTTGGCTACCCAATATCCTTAAGATTTTCACATAATTTTACCACAAAATATAACTAAACCATGTTATTTTCTTTCAAATATTGTTAAGTATCAGTTGTGTAAACAACCACAGATGAATAAAGTTTACCTTCTAGCCATGTATAGAATGATTCTCCTTAAAAAAAAAAAGAATTTGGTTAAAATATTTTAAATATTTGTATATAAACAACAACTCAGGTCACTTGAGGACTACCTCTAGGAATGTCTACTCCTTTAGACTAAACAGTAAAATGAGCATATGTTTCTAGAAAAACCCATATATAATTTAAATAACACTGGAGAGTGTTCTTACAGATATTTTAATTATTAAAATATATGATAAAACATTTCAGTGTAAATACTAAAATATATCTTATTCCCTGAAGGTTTAAATCCAAAAGCAAGGAAACAAACACTTAATAAATCTGTCTGAGATAACTAACAAGCATAGTATTATATCAGCAAACTACAAATACAGAAATTAAATTATAATTACTCAATTTTTCCTAACCCAATAAAGCTAGGTATGTTTCCTCAATTATCTAAGAATAAATTTCAAAAGATAATTTTCAATGTAATTCTTGCTTAGAGTGACTGTAACTCATCTGCATAGGACCTAAAACATCTCCTTGGAACGGAGGAGAAAGTGGTAAGAAACACAGAAGCTGAGTTCCAGAGCAGCAGCTAGTTCCAGAGGTCTACTATATAGCATGCTGACTAGTGTTAGCAACAAACTGTTGTGTTCTTATAAACTGTTGAGAGATTTTAAGTGTTTTTGCCACAAAAAGCTAAGTATGTAAATAAATACATATAGCACCAATCTTGTTTAGCCATTCTCCAGGACATATGCTTCAAAATACTGCTTATAAATGTATACAATTTTGTCACCAAAAGAAAGAAGAGCCCTTTCTGGCTCAATAATGCTCTTCTGAGTTAGGGAGGGAAAGAAATGGGAGTGTGGTTGTACTTCCTGAGAGAATGACAGAAAACCCAGTCCACAGAGGTGCTGCCCAGTCTCAGGGATAAACCTTGGGAGCTCCTCTGCCCCCTGAGTGCCACCCCACTCCACCACAAAACAGCACAGACAGCTTTCTGCCATCATCCACTCCATCCACCCTGGCTAAGGATTGTTACTATCTCACTTCCTCAAATAACCTCAACTGCCAGCTCCCATTTGGCTGGGAAACTGAGGCCACAAATGGCCTCTTAACCCATCCCTTCAGACGACTTCAGTCTTCCCCACTGCAAACAAGTCACACGGGACACACTGACTTACTTACTGCTCAGCTCTCAGGTTCATGCTATCTCCCCCAACAAGCCTATATATACTAGCTAATTCTACTGATCCACAACCACTCCTTTAGTTCAGAATTCATCTTAAAGGCCACTTCTTCCAGGCAGCTTTTCTCATCATGTATGAGGTGCTTTGTTTCACCCTTTACTGAGTTACACCTGCTGGGGGCACTGTGTCTGAGTTTCTGTATGTTGTTGCGTCGGCTGTGCATTGCATTTGCTTTCCTCTGGGCATCCTTGGCTCACAGAGGGACGCTGTGCATTTTATACATTCTCCCAGTCTGCATAATGCCACTGAACACAGGTAAGGAGACAGCAACTGAAATCATTTTCTGGCTGTTTCATGGCCAGATGCTAGTAAATAGTCTTCATGAGATTAAGCACTATATTAAAAAATGAGAATGTAACTTTCAAAGGCAGTAAGTAAATACAGAAGTCACAAACTATCTGAAAAAATAACTTTGCTACATTTCCTCAAAATCTTCATATAGATTAAAAAATATTTTTAATTGTGTATGTGGGTGGGAGGTGGGGTTCATGAGTGCATAGCATTTATGTAGAAGTCACAGGACACCTAAAAAGAATCTGCTCTCTTTTTCCATCGTGTGGGTCCTGGGTATTGAACTTGGGTCATCAAACTTGGCGGCAAGTGTCTTTACCACCAACCTTCAAGATTTTGTTAAAAGAAAATGTGGAAAGTAGACCTACTTTCTATACTAAACATTTGGTAAAATGGCCTCTATGCTTTTTTTTTAACTTTAAGACAACTTTATGTTATTTTTTAAAATCTCATTTTTGATCACCATTCATTTCTGAAAAAATAGGCCAAGCCACCTGCTTTTGGTGAAAAGAAGAAAAACTCTAAAACTTAATAGTAAAAAGGTTTCTTCCATGGTTGAAGTAAACATGAGTTTCAACTCACCATCATCTTCCCCTAAAGGAGAAAAGAGAAAAAAATTACAAAATGCCTTACCCTGCTCAGATTCCACCCCTGCTAATGTCAACGCACAATTTATCCTCACTGTTAAACTGTTCACTGTACCATGAACTCCGATCACTACTGCAGGCATCCTGCAATTAAGAGCCTTGCCTGCAAACCAGAGTACAAGATTCCCACATTCTACGAAACAAACAGGGGAAGTGAGAAAACATGAAGAGACTGAGAAGGGAGAAGGAACTAGGCCTGGTGACACAGGTGCATGATCCTAGACACTCGGGAGGCTGAAGCAGGACCACTCACTGTGCTCAAGGCCTGAGCTATAAGGTGAGTTCTAGGCTGGGATGGCTGCTCAGTGAGACTCTGGGGAGCTGCGGATGTAACTGTGATATAATGTTAAGTGTGCACAAAGCCCTGGGTTCCATCTCCAGCACATTGAAAGACCTGGAAGCAACCGAAGCAGCCAGAGGTAGCTAGGCTCAGTGCTTATCAAATATACAAATATCTTTCAGACCCCCTGCCCTCCTCACTCCCTCTACCCCACCTCTGTGGACAGGACAGTTTCCATGCTGGGTACTTCTCCAGATGATTACTCTTTTGCTCAGGCAGCTGAAAGAGGGGGTTCAAGGACACCCTCCTGGGATGGAGAGGCCCAAAGGCTGAGCTGGCTCCATTGTTCCTCACCTTTGTTGCCTCTGCCTGGCAGATTCTGATGAGAAAGTTTATTTTTCAGAAAAAAGGTTCTGTTGCTCAAAGACTTTTTGAATAATAGCTATAGAAGCCTAGAACTGACACTGCTTCAGGAATACAGTGGAAGAAACAGATGAGCAGGCAGTAGAGAGCCCTTCAAGCCCACCTGGCAGCCAGAGTTGTAGGCTTTCGTTAGCAGCCCAGAAGAACTGCTCCCACTCTCACTGCCTTGGCTTGTCTTTAACAGTCTTTCCTATCTTTTCTTCTCCTCCCTCCCTAGTCTCATTGTTGACACCCCCACCCGCCATCTTTGCAGCAGTTTCTGGTTTAATTTATGGGAAATGGAAACAAGGTGTTTCTTTGGATTTGACATCTTTTGTTAAACAAACAGCTGCATTTTTTACTTTGGAACAAAGTAACCACAGAAAAGGTCTGAAGAAATGCCTTCCTTAATTATAACAGGAAACAGAAGGAGGGATGTCCTATTTTCGTTTATACAGCTTCCACAGTGTCAATTTTTACAACATTTTGTGTAATTAAGACATTGAAGTTGAAAACATAAAGGTTATAATGTAAAAAGAGAAAAAAATAAGTCATGACCACTCAGCTCACAGTCCCAATTTTTTTACCAGGCAGTTTCAGAATGAGCTTGGGGAATAGCATTTTGCCTTGACACAGCTAGCATCTAAAAGCATTGCTTATATTCAACCACTCCATATCTATTTGGGCCTCAGGCCAGAAGGAACAAATCTACTTAGGAATTTCAACTTTCTAACTCAGTCCTGACCGAAACTTTAGAATGGTAGGTCAGAGCTACAGGGTCAATCCCAGGGATTAGTTGCTCCTAGATAAGAGGATGAAGATGCCCCAACTAACCACAGCATGCTACACCAACTGAACAGCACACTAGCTTACATGTACCTGTGTTTTTACAGTAGGAGGTGTGTCTGACACTACAACCCCAGTATCATGTGCTGTGCCCAAATATATGATGACAAAGACAGATAATACTGCCACCATCTTTACAATCAAGTAAATTAAACTTAAAACGTAAAATTCAGGTTCATACTTATCATACAAACACATAATGGCCAGCTAGTAATTGGCCACTTTGTGGAACAGTGCAGGGACTGGAGCAGTGTTGAGGGATGGCAGCCTGAGTGTCTGTACTCTCGTCATCCTTCATGTGCAGAGACACCATGGTGCATGGGTTGGCACCCCAGAGAACCCATTAGATAGGTCTCTGGTGGGGCCCAGCCTCTTGTGCTGTGTGCTTACCTGGCTCCCAGGTAATGTGTGCACTGTGGAGAAGCTGTGATGAACTCCCCCACCCCCAACTCTCCACTTTGGCTGCATATCACCAACTAGAACAGTGGTTCTCAACCTGTGGGTCAGGGGTCACATATCTGATAGCCTATATATCATATATTTATATTACAATTCTTATCAGTAGCAAAATTACAGTTATGAAGTAGCAATGAAAATAATTTTATGGTTGGGGGGTCAGTACAACATGAGGAACTATATTAAAGGGTTGCAGCATTAGGAAGGTTAAGAACCTCTGAACTGGAGTGTATAAAAACATGGAGCCTGGGTCCTTATTCTCTGGTTTCTGAATTTACTGTTATGGAGCAGGACCTGGCCCTCCAGAGTTCAAATTTCTCAAGAAATCTGAGGTATGTACTGATCCCTCACATCTTCTAATTCACCCTTCACCAGGTTCCTAGTTTAGGACCTAGCATAGGGCTCCAGAAGACATCTAGCCTGTCAACTCATGCTTGTGTTAATCACTAAAATTAAGCAAAATATAAAATTGCTGATTTACTTTTCTACAATTTGAAAATGCATGAAATGTATAGAAAACCTACCTCGGCTGGGTGCCAGAGGATTTAAAGGACGATACACAGATCGTGGCCTGGAAAAGAGCACAAAGCTCATGTGAAACGGTTTGGCTTGTTATATATCACCTTCCCCCAACAGAAACAGACATTTGCCCTTCCCTCTGACCCTTCATTACTTGAAGCAGTTTTCTTCATAGATGCTGTTCCACACCCTCCATGCCGAGGAGCCCTTGTAGCCAGTGTACCGCTCTGGGTTCAGCAACAGGTCCACATACTGCGCAGCAGGAGAGCGTTCATCTGCCAGGAACAAACCGGGAAGGCCACTCAACATCACCACTCACCAACAGCTTGGCATCACAAAGCAGCAACTCCCCAACCAGAGAAGTGGTTGGTTCAAGTCACCTCCAGCGTACACTGTCGGGGGTTAACCCCTGTGACCGCACATGACCCTAAATATGTAGAACTTGGGCAAACTACTCAAGAGATGAAAGAACAACTTCTTCCTTTCTTTGGCTTCTCAAAGTTCACTCAAGTAATGTAACATTCCCTACTTTAGTTATAACCACCCAGGAATAAAAGTTTATTTCTATAATTAACTATCTCAACACAGACTAGGAAACACTATTTTGTTACATCTTATATTACAAATATTTTTCTATTATTCTCTACAGAATAATTAGGTCATTAAACTCCCTCCTTTTTTTGTTTTCTTGTTTTTTGTTTTTCGAGATAGGATTTCTCTGTGTAACAGTCCTGGCTGTCATGGAACTCACTCTGTAGACCTAGATGGCCTCAAACTTTCAGAGATTCACCTGCCTCTGCCTCCTGAGGGATTAAAGGTGTGCACCACCACCACCCAGCAAACTTCTTTTCCTACCTGATAGTGTATTTTTCTGTCACTGAACAAAACTGAGATATTCAATAACTACTAGCCCCATAATCATAGAGGAAACTATGATTATGTTTCCTCTGACCCACACCCTTTGAGGCCTACCTGCTGCTATGATGATGTAGGAAGAATATAAAGGTAACAACAAATTGTCATTGTTTTGTTTTGGGTTTTGGTTTTTTTCAAGACAGGGTTTCTCTGTGCATCAGCCCTAGTCATCCTGTACTTTGTTGACCAGGCTGGCCTCAAACTCATAGAGATCTACCTGCCTCTGCCTCCCAAGTGCTGGGATTAAAGGTGTACACCACCATCACCCAGCTCCAAATTGTCATTATTAAATGGACTGAATATAACATAAATAATGGAAACATGATTTTACAGAATGCAAGATCTTATCTTAATCCTAATCACAAAGATACTGCACTACACAAATTTATGCACAGGAAACAAATTACAATTGAATATACAAAAACTTGCAAATGATTTAATTTGAATTGAAATCATTAATTTGAAAAATCCTAATAAAAATAAAAGTTCAAGTCATGAGGATTTCAAAATAGTTTCTTTTAAGGCTAAGAATACAGGATATAGCTAAGTGGTAGAGGGACTTGTGAAGCTGTACCCCCCCACCCCCCGCCAGGTTACAAGTTTTAATTTAAAAGTTTTTAACCATATCTAACAAAATAAATTTATAACACTCAAGATACAGAATGTTCATATAAACCAAGTCCAAATTTCTTGATTGTTCTGCTTTTTCTTCTTTTTGTCACTGTGTCAGGGGCTCAGACTGACAGAGTGACATAGAGGAACCTTTTAAATAAGCATGCCTGGATCTAGTGAAGTAAGAGCCATAATCCAACTCTGGAGCTAGCTTTTCAATAAAGAACAGAAGCTGTGGTTTTTAATACCTACAATACAAACACAAACCTTCAGAGGGGAAAAAAGTTCGTTTTTTCTTTTTTGCAATTAAATAATAAGAATGGTTAAATTTATTTATTTAATTATTTAATTTCTATGTTTTCTAGAGTAGAAACAGAGACAGACAAATTTACTGAGTACACTTTCAAGGGAGTAGTGGCCAGGGCAGGAGCAGAATGGCCTGCCTCATTTACTTCTAATTCCTGTATCTTTCCTTTTTAAAATTTTATGTATGGGTATTTTGCCTGCATGTATGTTTGTGTACCATATGTTGTACAGTTCCCCCAAAAGTTAAAGAGGGTATCAGATCCCCTGCAGCAAAAGGTACAGAGAGTTGTGAGCTGCCACATGGGTGCTGGGAATTGGAATCCAGGTACTCAAGAAGAACAGCCAGTGCTCATAACTGCTGAGCCATGTCTCCAGCCCCAGTTAAATATTGTCAATTGTTTTTTGTTGCTTTTCAACTCATCTTCAAAGCAGATTCAGTTATATATAAAGCTTCTCAAATACCACTGAATGTCATTCGTGTATCCTCTGATATAAACATTTGTGCATACTTAATACATACACACACATCTCCACACTCCTTAAGTATGTACATGTGAAACTAAACATGTGAAGGGTCTGCTATGAATGTGTGGGTGGGAATAGCACCTATCTCCTCACCATGGAAAACCCACTCAACAACTATAAAGGAAAAAGATTCTGCATTGTAAATCATCTGCCATGATGATTTACAATGCATTTTAGTGGGTCAGCAATGTAGTTCATTGAAAGCACACTTGCCTGGCATGCATGTGGCCCTGGGTTTGATAATAAGCACCACAGCTAAGTACATGCGCTCTTACTTTCTCTCTCTCTCCCTCTCCCCCCATCTCTCTCTCTCACACACACAAATCATCTAATAAAGTATTTTAAGAAAATAATTTAAGTGTTTAACCAACTTACATTAGTTAATAAAACTTTTGTTCTTGGTTTTTCTTCATTTTAAAAATCTGTTAATACTTTTTCAAATCATGAAAATGGTAGGATTTGTTAACTTATGCAAGGGGGTTGGCAGGCTACCTAATGGCTGAATGTGGCTTGCTGCTGGGAAGGACAGTGTCCTTGAGAACCACAGAGCCTGTGTTCAATGCTGATGAACTGAGAGTGTGCCACAGATACAGAGTCTACAATCTCTCAATTTTTCTTTTCTTTTTTTTATTTGAATTAGAAACAAGATTGTTTTACATGACAATCCCAGGTCCCTCTCCCTCCCCCCTCAACTAAAACCCTACCTATCACATATCCCTTCTGCTCCCCCTGAAGGGTGAGGCCTTCCATAGGGGGTCATCAGAGTCTATCATATCCTTTGGGATAGGGCCTAGGCCTAACCCCATGTGTCTTGGCTCAGGGAGTATTCCTCTATGTGGAATGGGCTCCCAAAGTCCACACCTATGCTAGGGATAAGTACTGAACTACAGGAGGTCCTGTAGATTTCTGAGGTTTCCTGAGTGAAACCCATGTTCCTGGGGTCTGGATCAGTCCCATGCTGGGATCCCAGCTATCAGTCTGGGGAGCAAGAGGTCCCCAATGTTCAGGTCAGCTGTTTTCTGAGGGTTTCACCAGACTGGTCTGGACCCCTTTGCTCATCACTCATCCTTCAATACAACTGGATTCTAGTTCAGGTCAGTGATTAGTTGTGGGTGTCTGCTTCTACTCCTACCAGCTGCTGGATGAGGGCTATCAGGTGGCATATAAGTCAGTCATCAATCTCATAATCAGGGGAGGGCATTTAAGGTAGCCTCCTCTCTGTTGCTTAGATTGTTAGCTGGTGCCATCTTTGCAGGTCTCCAGACATTTCCCTAGTGCCTGATTTCTCTGTAAATCTAAAATGTCTCCTTCTATTATGGTACCTCCATTTGTTATCTATTTTTCCCCTGACTCGACCCTCATGTCCTCTTCTCCCCTTCTCATTCTCCTGGCTCCCTCCCCCTCTTCCCGTGCTCCCAATTTTCACAGGGGATCTTGACCCTTTCCCTTTCTCCAGGGGACCATGTATGTTTCTCTTAAGGGTTCTCCTTGTTTACTAGCTTCTCTGGCAGTCTGGATTGTAGGCTGGTAATCCTTTATGTCTAAAATCCACATATGAGTACATAACATATTTGTCTTTTTTGTGATTGGGTTACCTCACTCAGAATGGTTTCTTCTAGTTCCATCTGTTTTCCTGCAAATTTCAAGATTCCATTGTTTTTTCTGCCTCTGAGCAGTAGTCCATTGTGTAAATGTACCACATTTTCTCTATCCATTCTTCAGTTGAGGGGCATCTAGGCTGCTTCCAGTTTCTGGCTATTACAAATAGTGCTACTATGAACATAGTTAAACAGATGTCCTTGTTGTATGAATGTGCTTCTTTTGGGTATATGCCTAAGAGTGGAATTGCTGGATCTTGTGGTAGA